TGTTCCCTTGATCTGTTTGGACAAAAATTTCTTGGTCTGGTTTTAGGCTTCACATAACAACAATCAAATATCTGGAATCCCCATTCTTCTCAATGCTAGCAATAATTTGTGATGAACACAGTCAAATGCCTTTGCATCATTAGTAAAACACAAATAGACATTCTATTGATATTCTAACCTTTCAGCTGAGAACCATTTAACAGCAGTGATATCTCAGGTGCAACTGCCTCTTCCAAATCCAACTTGAACTTCTGGAAACTATCTGTAGATGTCTTGCTTCAGCTATTTTTTTGTATAATCTTCTTTAATTTCATGTGGTATTTTTAAGAGACTGGGCTTTATGAAGAAGAATATGGCATCAGAATGGAAGAGGAGGTAGAGTCATCAACAACCTGCATTTTGCAGATGACACAACCTGGCTGCTGAATGTTAGGAAGATTTGAAATACATGCTTCAGAAAATCAAAGACTATAACTATTTTTGGGTTTATTGTTTTTTTATATTGGTTTGCTTATGACGTTTGTATCCATTGTGTTTCACACTATTTTTATTGACAAAAATCATTCTTATCTATTAATCATTTTCTTATACTAGTTTTTTACAAAATTAGAACACAATGTTTTTCAAATCAGATTCTTCCAATTTCCCTCATCCCCCATCAAATTGTACAATCCCATGATTATTGCACCCCCCTCCAGTACATCCTCATGTGCATCCTTGTGCTTCCCCCCCCCCTTGGATTCTCATTCTACAAGAATGGTTTTATACACTATTGGTCCTTGTAAGTCTGAGTCAATTCACTCGGCATAATGTTCTCCAGTCCCTCCCAAGCTAGGTAACAATTTACAAAATCATTGCTCCTGCATGCTGCATAGTATTCCACTGTGTGAATGTACCATAATTTCTCAATCCATTCAATTGTGGTTGGACATCTGGGCTGTTTACATGTTCTTGCAATGGTGAGTAATGCTGCTATGAACATTGGTATACAAATATCTTTTTGTGCCTCAGTTCTCATTTTCTAAGTGAATATTTCAAGCAATGGAATATCTGGGATATAAGGAATTTCTATGTTCATCATTTTGAAGAAGCACCAAACTGCCTTCCAGAATGGTTGTACCATTTTCACAGTCCCATTAACAATGCATAAAAGGTCCTATCTCCCCACATCCTCTCCAACATTTATTACCTGCTGTCTTGTTAAACTTTGCCAGTGTTACTGAGTGAGATGATATCTCTTGCAATGGTGAATAATGCTGCTTTGAACATTAGTATACAAATACCATTTGTAAAGACTACAGCTGTTGATATAGATTACAGCTCAACATGAAGAAAACAAAAATTCTTGTCACTGGACTGATAGACAACTTCATGATAGTTGAAGAAAATAGTAAAGTTATTAATGATTTAATCTTGTTTGAGTGTACAATTAAGATATTTAGTACCATCACTAAATAAATCAAAAGACATATTGTGTTGAGGAAATCTGCTTTCAAGGACCTCTCTAAAGTGCTAAAGAGCAATGATGTCAGTTTAAAGACTAAGATGCACCAGATTTAAAATATAGTCTTTTTAATCACTATCTGGAAGCTGGACAATTAATAAGGATACCAGAAGAAGAATTGATGCCTTTGAGTTATGGTTTTGGAGAAGAGTGCTGAAAACCCCATAGACTGCCAAAACAACAAACATGTCTTGAAGAAACTAAAACCAGGGTGCTTTGAGAGGCAATAATGGTAAAACTTTTTCTCACATATTTTGGGCATGTTGTTAGGAGGGAACATTACTTGGGAAAAGACATTATGCTTGGAAAGGTGGAGGGTCAAAGAAAGAGAGAAAGACCTTCAAAGAGATGGATTGAGCCAGTAACTGTAACAATGTCAGAAATGACTGAGATGTTATAAGATAGGACTGGGTTCAGATCTGTTGTTCTCTATGAGTTGTACATGACTTGATGGCACCTAATAACAACAGTAACATTAATTTCATGACAAATACTGATATTTTTCTGTAACCAGAAAAGCACTCCCCATTGTGTTTAATCAGTGGTTGGAATTGCAACACTATGAACAAAAGCTTTGGATCCTGTTCTATCTTGTGCCATCCTCACACTTCCTAAGACACAAGGGCTCATCGCAGCAGCCACCACGTCAACCTACCTGGTCGAGGGTCTTCTAATCAGTTTGTCTCAAAAAACTTGTTGCTATTTGATCTGACCAATTAATAACTGACCTCCAGCTATTGCCAAGTCTGTGAATTATAGAGGAGGAGATTGCCCATCTTTCTCCCTGTGGTGTGCTGGGTGTTTCAAAGAGCCAGCACTGTGTAAGAATTACAATCTCCCCCATATCCTTGCCAGCATGTGTTACATGCACTTTCTTTATGTGATTTTTCTCTAATAAATTTTATGTGATTTTTAAAATCTAGATTCTTCTCTCCTCTGGGCCAGGAGCTCTGGTGGCTTAATAGTAAGGGATTGCACTGCCAATTCAAAACATACATAGTTCCAATCCACTAGCTGTTCCTCAGGAGAAATATGGGCAGTTTCTTCTTGTGTGATTTACCATCTCCAAAAACTCACTGCAGGGTCAGCTGTGGGTCGCTTCTGACTTGACGGTACTCAACAACTACAACAATCTTGACCATGACACCTTGATCATGCTATAATTTTAACAACTTTCACATTTTATTATTGAGTCACTAGCTGTATTTCTGGTGGGACTGAAAATTTTTTCAGGTGAAAGACTTTCTTTTTCTTTGTATTTTCAAGAGTCTTGTAAGTAAAATATACGTACTAGATTATTATTGAATAAACAAGGAGCTGAATACTTTAAAATATTTTTTCCTTAGTTTGCTCACTTAGTCAACTATTCATTCATTCACTGAATAAGTGTTCCTTGAACATTTAATATACTAAAAATATTGTGAAGATTACAAAACAAATGAAAAAGTTTGTTTTTAAGAAATTTTGTATTTTCCTTTTCATGGGAAAAAGAGACACAATTGAGAAAGTACATAGAATAACATTTATGCTTTAAGTGAGAAGATAGTAGGTAGACCTCAAATCAAACTGTCTCCTTTCTGTTGAATTTAGAAGTTTGCAAAGAACCTTGAAATAAGAAAGTTGTCCCGTACCAGCAAGTTAGAATCAATTCATAGCTGACCCTCCAGTGGGCTTTCTGAAGCAATAAAGGGCACAGGAGGAGATTGTCTATCTCTCTCTCAAGGATTCAAATTTAGTGCCTTTTGCTTTGGCAGTGCAAGTCCTTACCACTCAGCCACGAGGGCTCTGGAATAGAGTCTGAGTATTACCTGATTTACTGAAATTTGCCAACTCCCGGGGGATAAAGATGTGGCTTCCCAAAAGAGTGTTTCTAGAAGTTGGTCTAGAAGTCCTCCATGCAATATTGTTCTTAGGTGCCATCAAGCCCACTACAATTCACAGTGACCCTACTAACAGGAGTTGTGCCCTATTCTGTACTATTCTCATGATCTCAGATGTAAAAGAAATAAAAGCCCAGAAATCAATTGGAAAGAGAGACAGGGAGGAAGAGGAACAGAGGAAGGGGTCGGGGGAGGGGAGACAGAGAGGAAAAAACCTGATTAGAACCCATGGTATGTTTTAAAACCTCACCCTAACTCTCTCCACCTGTAGGGGGAAAAACAGCCAATGAAATAAAGAACCAAACATAAATTTACATGTCAACATGGTGCTCTGTTGGTGAAGTGTGTAAAGAGTTGTGTTTTTAAAACCTGAGGTATGTGATTTGAGTTTGAGAGAGAGATAGGTCTTCTCTTTCTGTGACTCTATACCTTTAGCTGCATCATGGTTTTTTTGTAATCCAGAGGGCACGTGATTCGAGGCCACCAGCTGCTCCATGGGAAAAGGATGGGCACTCTCCTCCTGTGCAATTAACTGCCTTTGAAAACCCTTTCGAGGGTCAGCTGTGGGTTGGTTCTGACGCTACAGTACACAACAGCAACAAAAAATTCCAACTGACAACATGTCCAAGAATGTGTGACGAAGTTTGACCATTCTTGCCTCCAAGGAACTCTCTGTTTGCACTTCCTCCAAAGAATGCTTGTATCATCTTTCGGCAGTCCATGTACTCTTCTCTTTATTATAGATAAACTGAATAATTGTACTGAGTCATCTCTCTGTTTGATGCAAGAAGATCTCTAAATTAAGGAAATTGAGGAATAGAATGTCTTTGTTTTTCCATGTGTTAATCCAGGAGACTGATGATTTTTCATCTACCAACTCTAGTCTGCTCTGGCAGAGGTTTCTGTGCCTCGCTTCATTCTCCCCAGGGCTGCCCTCCATGGTAACTCAGCAGCAAATGTAACTCCTACTAATGGCCAGAGACTAACTATTTATTGTATGGTAACATTTAATCATTTGAAATTTTGTGCAAAATAGAATTCAATCAGACATCATTTAAGCTCTTATTGCAAACAGTAAACAGGTTAAAAGGAATTGAGTATAAGGATATTCAAGCAAAGATATAAACCCACTTAATTAGATAATTTTTAAAGAATTAAACAGAACTACCAAAAATTATACTTGTTAAAACATGACATTTATTTTTCTTATATATTTTTTTTTACATTGATGGTGAGTGTATTGACATTTTTCCTCTTTCTTTAGGACTGAATAACTAGTGACTACATTAAGAAACTGACATAATTACAAAGTATTGATTTCTATGCCATCTTACATTTACAGGGAAGAATGTTTGTTTTTTTTAAAATGTACATACAAGACTACACACTCTGTATTTCCCCTGTTCACTGGCAAGGGCATGCTGGACATCCTGGATAGAAGATATTTGATCATTTTTTAGCTCACAAATGTCAGCTAACCTATCAGTGAGTATGAAGATTCATCATCAGATATAATTTCCACACTGGCTCCTATGGCCCCAGGGTAATCACATTCTCTTTGCACGCTGCCTTTATTCAAGATTATGGGAAAGGAAGTTGAAGCCCAGGAAAAGTGATTAGACTTCAGGTTCCAGCTGGTTGTGGCTGTCATGTGCGTTAAAGCGATTGTCATGTTCTGTGCACTCAGGGACCTGAAAAGAAAATAACATGAAGGCACTTTAAAATCCCTTCTCATCCCTTCTCCCATCTCCCCTGGCTCTGTCCAAAGTTAGCACGAAAAAAAACGTCTCTTTTGTTTGTTGAAAGTATTACCTAAGCTTAAAAGGATGGGGATTAAAAACTGCTTCAGGTGGGGAAAAGAACTAAAATATTTATCCCACCCACCTTGAATACATTCCCCAAACCTGCTCTCCCTGAAATTCCTGTTCAACACGCTCAAGCATCTGTTAGCTTTGCAGGGAAAAAAATGGAAGGACCGGGGAGGACTTGGAGGGCAGAAGGAGACTGATGTCTTGTTGCTTATAGATGTTGTGGTGGTTAGGTGCCTATGAACAGCAGATTGGAAAGTTGGCCTATGCGGAGACAGTGAAGATGGTACTGCTTGCTCATAGAACATCTGTAAAAGTGCGGGCCTCTTTATAGGTCTTCCCTGAGACTCTGCAACATGGCCTATTCTTTTTTTGCCTACCTTTATATTAGATATAAAATCTTATACAATGGGCTCAAGTATTCCTGGTATTTCTATGATTAGCTTTCCTATTGTTCTGAGAAATGGAAGGCCATTTACCACCTGAATTCTGTTTTGCCTTCATCTAGTTCCCGCATTAAGGGAGTTCTGGTAGTCCAGTAGGTAAAGGAGTTGTTCTGCCAATCCAAAAGCAAGCAATTAAAATAAGGCATCTGCAACTGAGGAGAAAGATGGGCAATCTCCTCTTGTAAGATTTATGTCCTCTGAAAACTCAGGTTCAGCTGTGAGTTGGTTTTGACTCAGCTACACGGAGTGGATGAGGGAGTTTCTGCTTTGGCAAGTAACATAATTTTTTATTTAGTCAGGCCTGGGAACATGCCTCAGTTTTTATAAATATGGAATTCATTCCATTTCATCACACGAATTTCACACAAATATTTGGCTTGAGGTGAGTAAAACTTTTAATAGTGGGGTCACCATTTATGCCTTTGTTTAAAATGCTGTGCCAATTGCTTAAATTGTTGCTACCAGATCTATTCTGACCTCTGGTGACCTTACGTATGGCAGAATGGACTGTGCTTCATAGGATTTTCAAAGGTTCCTTTTTTGGAAGTAATTCTCCAGGACTTTCTTCCAATGCTCCTTTGGGGCCAACTTTTCAGTTAGTAGCTATCACTGAACTGTTCATGTCACCCAGAGACTTAAGGACACTGTTCTTTACCTCCCAATAAACAGAGTCGTCATAGCAGTTCTGATCCGTTGGCTGTTCCCAGATGGGTAACTTTAGAATTAAACCTGTGAAAATGTGGGACAGTGGAAGGATGGGTTAGGTTGCTGAAAAGGAAAATGGCATCACACCTTAATTAACATACAATTAGAAGCTCATCTTGAGATAACTTGGTTACTTTATGGTTAGCAGTTTAGAATATTGCAGTATTTGTCAATTTCCGTATTTATTATTTCTTATTCTCAGGGCACGGGGTACAGTAAAACGTTTCTTTCAAATGCTGACCTGTAATCAGCCCTCCAACAATCGCTGTTCCGATAGAAGAGCCCAGTGCTGCTGCCTGCATGGCCATGGTAGATCTAGGAAAAGAGTGGGGGAAAAAACGTGTTTTATTATTTTTTTTTCCTTGACACTGGAAAGCTAACCTCACTAAGAGTATGAATGCCTGCCATCTTCTGGCCACAGTGCAGTATTACATACCAAATGTAAATCTTATTTTTCTTACATTTTTATTTTTTTTAAACTTTTGAGCCATATTTAAAAAAAAAATCCTCAAAGTATATAACATTTAACCAAGAACCACACTTAACATTAGATTTAGAAATGACCACAAAATCTTCCTTAGGAAGAGTATATTTAATACCAGGTTCTGATCCCCTTTTGGATTCATTTATTAAGTTCTGCCAGCTTCACTTACAGATACAAAAAATAAGGTAATATCCAAAACAAAGTTATGTTACTATCTCTCCTCACCCTATTTCAATATAAACAATTATTTTAGTCACTACACAGGCTTTATAAGAATAATACGCTCCAGAACATATTGCAGAGAATATATTAAAGTATGCATAAAGATATGAAAGTAAATCTTTGTCATATTAGACGTCACAATGTTAAAATAAAATTAGCGTTTTATTTTAGAAACGAAAGTAAATCTTTACTATATTAGAAATCACTCTTATGTTGTTATGTGCCTTGTTGTATAGCTATAGTAATTTCTCTAAATTCATAGAGTTTTCAGAGGAAGCACACTTTTTAGGAAGCAGATGTCCCTCCTGCTTCCAAAACTATTTTAATCTGGGAGCTCCACCAAACACTGTTCACCATGGGTAACCATTATGGCATTTGACAAAACAGTGTCACAGTGTTTAGCATCACTAACTCTGCACAGCAAATTGGCAGACCAGTGCTATACTACTCAGAAGAATGTTAAAAGGAGGCCTGAGGGGGCCCAACTCCCTTTTAAATAAAAGGCCAAATTCAATTAGCTCTCACACAGTTGTGGAAACAAACAGTCCACGCCTGAGCCTTAACCAAAGTCCAGTAAAAATAGCTCACAAGTGAAAGAATATGTTAAAAATAGTGAACTTGTGTGAATATACCACAGCTTCTCTACCCATTCGTTTGTTGATTCACACAATGGAATATTATGCTGCATTGAAAAACAAGGAACTCATGCAAAAGTATTCAAAATGGGTGACCCTGGAAGACATTATGCTGAGTGAGGTATTTCAGTCTCAAAGGGACAAATGCTATATGGTACCACTGTTGTAGAATGAGGCTGACATTGGGGTGGGGGTAAGACTGAGAAAAACTGGATGAAATATGTTTATGGCATTGAAGTCTTTTGGGGAGAGAATAGTTTAAAAGTATTATATTTTAGAGCATTATGTTTATCGTAAGAGTACGGAATGAGGGTTGCAGCGTGGATTATATTTGGGGTTGGGGGTGTAGTTGGGGGATGTGTGTGGGGGATTGTGTACCAATAAGGGAGTTTTTCTTCTGCTTTTGAAGAAGAGGAGCAAAGGGGGGGGTGAGAAGAAGGGGGGGGGCGGGGAGAAGGGTGCAACAATGAATGAATGGGATTCCAAAATCTCTATAGATGTTCATTGAAATGAAAAGTAAATAAATAAATTTTTAAAAATACTCCATATATTCAAGGATGATGGAAATGAGTCAATGTATTTAGATGTTTTAATAATGTAAAATTCTGTAGCTCTTCCACAGAGAAAAATTAGCTTACACCAAATGGTTTATATTTCAGTTTTAAAGTTTATTTTGTAATAAATGCTACAATAAAAATGGAAAAATGAAAGATGTTAAAAAAAAGAAAGGAGAGATGAATTCAAGTCACTTTCTCTGACTTTTTTTTATGCCAATAAAATCACCAATTTTTTTTAAATTAAAAAAAAATAGTGAACTTGTGTAAATATGTTATCTCTTATTGCCATCAAGCCAGATCTGATTTAGAGTTAACCCTCCTGTGGGTTTTCAGGGGCTGTAAATAGCTTAGGAGAAGAATGTCCCTCTTTCTTCCATGGAGTAATTGGTGGGCTCAAACCACCTCCCTTCATGTTGGTAGTACAACTCCCTTACCAACTGGATCACCAGAACTCCTCCAAGATGCTGTGTGAGGAACAAAAGAACCAGGAATGAAAGAATTTGCTTTTATATTCCACAGCGTCTCACTCATCACAGAGGGCTAATAAATAGTTGTTGAAAGGCTGAATCAGCAAGTAAAGGAGAATAGAGAGTTGGACAGTTTGCTGTGTTTTAGTCCCAGCTCATTATTCAAATAACAGAATGTGTTAAACGCTGATATTTTTTTGAGTTAAGGAATTTTATTTTTTATTGTAGAAAAAATTGTGTATGGAGAACAAGTGAAGGGAAAAAAGTTTAAAATTTTACAAACCCTACCTCTATAAACATACACATCTACTTTTAAAAAAATACCTAGCAAATACTGTTTTTATAAAAACACCTAATACTGCTTTTCACATTAGATCATGTCTTCAGTGTCCCTTTAATCCAGTAACTAAATCAGTATTATCATTTTAATTGCTTTATAATATTGCACTACACAAACACATGATTTTAGTCTTATTGGTTGACTATTAAGGTTGTTTTCAATATTTCACACACTAAAAATTTCTTGAGACTATATCATCTCATTAATATACTAGTGAACTTGTTCAATTATTTTTCAAAAAGAAATTCTATCTAGAAATGAATTCTTGGGTAGTAATTAAAAGTACTTAAGTACTTTTATAGTACTTTTCCATATAAAAACAGGTATGCCAATCAATATTCCCATGTCTCTAATTTAGCCAACATTTAGTATTATTAAAGGAGCTCTCGTGGTCTAACGGGTAAGGAGTTGCACTGCCAACCCAAAGGCAAACAGTTTCAGTCTACTAGTGACTCTGGGAAGAAAGATAAGCAGTTTCCTTCTGTGACTTACAACCCCGGAAAACCCACTGGAGGGTCAGCTGTGCGTTTTAACTGGATGACAATTAATTGCGTTTGAGTCAAGTCAGTGTTATTTATGATTTAACCTCCATCAATTTGTAAATGAATAACTGGTATCTTAGAGCTTTAATTTGTGTTTCTCTGACTAGAGAGTTTTTGTCTCTTATGTATTCCTTTATTTAACTAGACTATTTGTGTCTTTAGATAAGGATTTCCTAAGGCCTTTATAAGATATTAGTATTTTTTACAAAAGTGTTAATAAAATCAAAGAGATTTGTAAAATAATGGATTAAACAAACTTGTGGGCAGCAGTATTGGAAGCAAGCTGTCCCTCAATAATCTAACTTTCTCTCGCTCTATGCTTACCAAGAAATCTTGCATTTAAGAAATCTGAACAGTTTTGTGACTAAATACCCGGCTTCAGACACGTGTATATTTTACCTGCAGGGATGAGCCTTCTAAATTTTGTTTGACTCCCTGAGGAGAGATTATCTGTTCAAGTTCTAGACTTCAGCCATGGAATTACCCAAAGTCTTCCTAGCCAGAGAGAACCAGCCTCTGGGAACCAGACAAATGAGTTTTATTGTATCTCTGGAATTGGTTTGGGCATGCTGCTTAAGAATTTTCATCACCACTTAGAATATTTGCATAATGTGTGTACATAATAACGTTTAGGAGTTGAGCTCCTACACATGCCTTCTTGTTTATTGAAATTTATTTCTTGTTTATTGTTTATTGTTTGGTTTATTAAAATACTTTAGCGTTTCCTCTCAACCACTTGTTAACTCTCAGTGAAAGCAAAAGGAAAGTATGGATATTTCTCAGTGAGATTGTCCTCCACGTTTACAAAAGGGTTACAGAATGAAAATAAAATCAAGAAATGGGCCAAAGGTACATGGAGAAGATGAAGCAAACTTGCTGTTCAGTAGAAAGTACGTTGAAGTGAGTTTTTCCTAGTACTTTTTGCTATGAATTCCAGTGTGGTTAACTTTAAACTGCTCCAGTTGAAGTTAAGAGACTTCTTTTTCAAATTAATCAGGTTTCCAGTTGTTTATTTTTTAACTTTTTTACTATTTTTTTTATTTTGTATTGGTTATTTTACACAGTTTGTGTGCATTGTTTTCTACATTGGATCTTTTAATCAGGTGCATTTCCAGTGACTTTTTCTAAGCACACATTCACCTTTCATGCTTCTTCACAATTTCAATTTGCTTTAAAAATGGAATGGATTCCTGAATAGCCTGGACTTCATGTTCTTTCTAGATTTATTGATTGGATAACTTGTGTGTAAAAATGCTTCTATCTTATTGTATTAAAGAATAACTGATCACTTCACCAAAGAAGACATTTAAATGCCTAACAAGCACATGAAGAAATGTTCAAAATCCCTAGCTCTAAGAGAGATGAAAATCAAAACAATTATGAGATATCATCTCACCCCTGTAAGAATAGGAAAATTTAATAGAACAGAAAGCAACAAATGCCACTCAAGCAGAAATATGCACACCTATATGTTAATCGTGGCTTTGTTCACAATAGCAAGGAGTTGGAAACAACCTAAGTGCCCATCAGCAAATGAATGGATAGAGAAGCTATGGTATAGTCACACAATGGAATACTCTGCTGCATTGAAAAACAAGGAAATCATGCAATATTATTCAAAATGGGTGACCCTGGAAGACATTATGCTGAGTGAAATATCTCAGTCACAAAAGGACAAATACTGCATAGTGCCACTGTTGTAAAACAGGACTGACATTGGAGTTGGGAGGAGACTGAGAAAGATGGGATAAGTAATGTATACTGCACGGAAACAGATGAGGGAGAAAATTGTTTAAAAGGGATATATGATTAGGTAATATTGTAATGATAGGAGTCCAGAATGAAAGCTGCATAGTGGAGTGGACCTCGGGGGAGGAATTATATAACAATGAAAGAATTTTTCTTTTACTTTTCAAAGAGAAGAGTGTACTGGGGTGGGGGAGGAGTGGGCAGGGAGAAGAGGGCAACAATGAATGGATAGAAATCCAAAATCTCTGTAAATTTTCATTAAAATTAATAATAATAAAAAACAAACAAAGAACAACTGATCAACTTATGGCTTAATCACTCACATTCTCCTGGGCTTGACTGGTAGTTTTTGCTCTTTTTATTGGTTAACTAAATGTTTATTCTCCTCCCCACCTCTCTTTAGTCTGTATCCCTAAATGGGAAAAATCTAAAGCTGGTAGAAGTAGAAGGAATCTTAGAGTGGCTTAGAGAATAAATAGTCAAATAGTCCAAGCTATTCCTTTTATAAAAGAGAAAACTGGGAACCAGAGGGGTTGACAGACTTGTCAAAGACAATTTAAATAGTAGCTGACTTGGCCTGGAAGAAAACTCTCCCATCACCAGATGCCTCAAAAAGTGAGAGACAGCACTGCTGGACCTTGAAGTCAAGAGTACAATTCTTCCACTCACGTGTCAGATACACCCAGGGCCACCGCTACAATGCCAGCCAGTCCTCCCATGATGCCGGGTAAGCCATGAAGGTTGTGGACCCCACATGTATCTTGAATCCTTAGTTTAGATGCAAAAAATGGCTAAAATGGTGGGGGGAAAAATAAGAAGGTTCATTCATTTGAAAGAGATGCAGAGCTCCTTAACAGAAAGTAAAATGAGAGTGCAGGAATAATTAGATGTGCAGCCGAGTTCTCCCATCCCTGCTGCTCACCCAGTTCAGCTAAAGAATCTAAACACACTGGTAGCAAAACTGCCTTTTGCAGTCTTTTAATGGTTAGAGATGTGAAGGCGATTTACGCCAGGTCCCTCTTTTTCTTGCTTTGTTAGGGCATCTTAAATTCCCTTTAAAAAGCTCCACATCTTTAATTATACATCCAACAACAACAACAAAACCCAAGCAGGTATCAATGAAACTACCCATCCCTCCTTGGAAAGCTACACAAGTGCTTTACACACAGATATTCAGCTCATACTAAGTTATAAATAACTGTCTAATTCTTTCCTGAGCATAGAGGAAACCTCTTGAACACCAAGATAAAACTCTGAAAGCAAAGGACTCCCATACATTGGGAGATGCTTACAAAAGGAAACCTCAGGGATGTACTCTGCTCATAGAAGGTGGGAAAACAGGAAGGAGAGCATTCAATGCTTGACCTGGAGGGACTTCAATACGTACAGTCAGAAACTTAAACCCAATCACAGAGATGATTCCTGCAACGCCACCGATGATCATAGAGCCAAATGGATTGATCGCCATGTCTGCGCAAGTGCCCACAGCAACCCCTCCAGCAAGGGTTGCATTCTGAATGTGAACCTGTGGAGGACAGAGGCATGGATGAGATGAGGAGTTAAAGAAGGAACCAGAACTGGAGCCAGAAAAAACACGGGAGAAGAATGGAGACTTCAATGAGACTACCATGTTGTGTTCTCAGCTTAAAGAACTGCTGGGTTTTTTCTTATTTTTTTTAAAGAGGGGCCATTATATTTACAGAAAGTCTCCTCAACCCTCCAGCCCAAACAGTTGGCATTTGAAAACCTTTCTTTACAAGATTGTTTGATAGTGGTTATCAGTCTAATGAGAGAGAAGGGAGAAAATCAAAAGAACAAGTTTGTGCATGAGGCTGGGGTAGACACAGAGCAAATATTCAGCTGCATTTTCCTTACTTAGGACACTTATATGGTTTTCAGGGCTGAAAAGGGGACAATGAGTCTGTCTGATGTATATCCTATACAGTGAGCTACTTCTCAATATTCAGAAAGAGGAGGTAGATATTTTATACCAGAGAGAGCTTCTTTCTCAATTGTTTCTGTACTACGGAAGGGGCAGGAAGAACAACTGATTTCCACTAGCCAGATTTCATCAGTAAAATGATATTCTGTTATAACTGAGGAAGAGAGGTTATTCGTACTTTTAAAAAGGAGCTAATGAGCAATATAGATACCTGATTTTTGGTTTTCATTTGTCTCTCGAGTCAATTTTGTATTGAATTGAAATACATTCCTTAAATGAATTGTTGTTAATATTATCACTACAGTTATGATACCCTTTTCTTCTCCTAGGCTGAAAAAAACAAGTAACTGATCTGACAATCACACTACCTTCACTGTTATTTTTCCAACTTTAAGTCAAGAATCCCAGAATATCAATGTGACCTCAAAACATTAATTTGGGTGGTAGACACACATATGTGTTTGTGTGTGTGTATAAACTTTGATTTTGTTTTTCACTTACATGAAAACCTCAGAATCACACCAGTGTTCATATATTCCTCAACCCGTTTCCCCTAATAGTAAATCTTATGTAGCCATAGAACTAGGACGTTTACGTTAGCAATGCTTTTAAGCTGAAAACCTAATTAGAATTTTGGCTGCTTATATTCTTTTTTTAACTTTTCTTGATCCTACTCGTGATTCCACCCTGTATTCAGTTATTTCTTTAGGAAAAATATTTGTAGGAGAGAGGATAGATTCCGTTGGAACTATTACATTATATATTTTTTTTCTAGTTAAGAAACAGAAGATTCCTTTTTCTTAAGAGATATTCTCTAAGAACTTGGAAGTAGTTAGTGGTATCACTAAATAAATCTAGAAAGTTTGATTATTTTTTTTTAAAGACTATTATTTCCCACTAAAGGAGCTCTAGTGGCCTAACTCATAGGAAGTTTCACTGATAACTCAAAGATGGGGGCCTCTCTGGTGGTCCACATCCACTAGCAGAGTCTTGGGAGAAATATAGACAATCTCCACCTTTGAGGATTACAGGCTCAGAAACCCACTTGGGGGTCAGGTGTTACAACAACAATGAGTAAATGCTCCCAACTGAACTCATTGTTCTCAAGTCAGAATAGACTCATTGCCGACTCTCCAGTGGGTTTTCCTGAGGTGATGAATACTCATCTCTCTCTTTTGGGGCCACTAGTGGGTTTGACTGACAGAGATGCTCTGCTTTGGGTTAACAAGGCAGCTCCTTAAAGACTGTATCACCACAGCTCTATAACGCTTGAGTGAGGAGTGAGTGATTTTTTTTCACTAGGATGTTAATTCCTTGAGAACATTTTGTAGTTACCTCAATGTAAATTTAATGGATAAATAAATAAATGGATACATACTTTTTAAAAAATTTTCAAAATATTTCTTCAAGTTATGATATTTTTCAATTTGTCCCGGTATGTCAGCAGTAATACAGAAGTGATTCAGTGAAGTGACTGTCAGCATTCTTAAATGAAATGTCTCTGGGAGTTAATATGATACATACCATATCCAGTTTACCACGATGGGTAACAAGGCTGGAGAAGGCGTATGCTGTGAGCACGCAGGCAGCGAGAGAGAAGTAGGTGTTGACAATGGCCCTGTACTGCTTGTCTCCAGGCTCAGCGATAGCAGAATTAAAGCTCGGCCAAAACATCCATAAGAAAAGAGTCCCTGTAGCAAACCACAGAAGAGGATGTTGTTTGAGAACGTGAAAGACAGTCCAAGGGATCCAAGGTGCCTCAGTGTTATGCAGATGATACCTATCACTGTAGAAGCCACTGCTTTTCGATTTAATTATCGAAAAGTAACAAATCTATAAGGAAGAACGAAGCCTTTGAATTGTGATGTGGCAAAGAATGCAGCCCTGGATATCCTCACCAGGTAGTGCCAAGAAATCTGGAGAACAGATACTTGGCAAACTGAAAAAGATCGATGTTTATTCCCATTCCCCCCAAAAAGGTAATTCAACAGAGTGTGAAAATTAGTTAATAATATCACTAATATAACATGTAAGCAAAATCTTTCAGGAGATTATGTAAAGACCACTAAAATAGCATATCAACAGAGAACTGTCAGAAATACAAACTTGAGTTAGGAAGAGGTTATGGCACCAGGGATATCATTGCCAACGTCAGATGGATTTTGGCTGAAAGAAATAGTACCAGAAGGATGTCTGTTTGGTTTTATTGATTATGCAAAGACATTTGACTGTATGAATCACAAAAAATATGTTGCTGACTTTGAGAAGAATGGGAGCCACAGAACACTTGATTGTGCTCATGAGAAAACTAGATCTAGACCAGGAAGCTGTTATCTGAACAAAACAAGGGAACAGTACATGGTTCAAAATCAAGAATGAAATGTGTCAGGGATATATCTTTTCACTATACCTTTTAAATCTATATGAGGAACAGATCATTAAGGAGGCTGGACTTTATGAAGAAGAATGTGGCATCAACCACCTGCATTATGCAGATGATACTATCTTGCTCACCAAAACTGAGACTTGTAATTTCATTGGTGGAATTCTTCTTTGCCTGCATTCACTTTCTAGCCAAGTAAACTCAAGCACAGCCACCACCTGCCTGTCAATTGTCTTGTGTGTTGCTGTAACTCTTAAGAGCTTTTAGTAAATAAAGACCAGGAAGAAGAACCTGGCAACTGACTTCTATAAAATTAGCCAATAAAAACCCTATGGATCACACAGTCTGATTCTGTTATGCATGGAGTTGCTATAAATTGGGAAATGACTCCCAGGCAGCTAAGAGCAACAAGATCCTAAGAGAAAGGAAGAACAGAGAACCCACTTAAGCACATATCGCCTTCAAGGGCATTCCCCTGGAATGTCTTCACATTTATGGAGTTAATCCTTATGTCTACCCAAATAAACAAGAATTAGGCAAGTTCATTTCTACTCACCAATCATTGCAAACAAGTCTGAGTGGTACACAGATTCTTCATTTTCATGCCCTCTTCTTAGGCCAGAGCGATACAAGACACCTGCTACAGCCAAGCCAAAGTAGGCCCCAAAAGCGTGGATGGTCATTGATGCTCCAATATCAGAGGCCTAGGAACAAAGAACATCATTCTTATAAACAGAAGTTAAAGTGAGGCTTTCCACAGGAGGACCATCAAAGAAAGAACTGCATTGTTGGTTGCAAATGTGGAGAGAGAGTAAAACAAAAATACAGGCTTTGACCCAAACATGACTGGCTTTGAGTCCTCATTCTGGTGATGTGAATTTGTGTTAATTGTTAAATGTCTCTCAATCTCAGATTATCCATTAGAGTTTTGGTAATGTAGTCTATATAGGGAGTTGAGCTGCTAACTCAAAGGCTGTACTGTGAGAAAAAGTATTTGGTAATGACATGTCTGATAAGGGACTTACATCTAGAATTTATAAAGTACTCGAGTACCACAACAAGATAAAGATAAATAACCCAATTGAAAAATGGTCACAGGATAGGAACAGAAACTTCACCAAAGAAGACATTCAGATGGCCAACAAACACAAGAAGAAATGTTCAAAATCCTTAGCTCTAAGAGAGATGCAAATCAAAACAACTAAGAGATATCATCTCACCCCAGTAAGAATAGCAAAATTTAACAGAGCCGCAAACAACAAATGTTGGCGAGTTTGCAGAGAAACTGAAACCCTTATTCATTGTTGGTGAAAGTGTAAAATGGTGCAACCACTATGGAAGGCTGTATGGAGCTTTCTCAAAAAGTTGCAAATGACCCAGAAATTCCTTTACTGGGAATAAACCCTAAAGAAACCATAACTGCCACCCAGGCAGATATACGCACACCCATGTTTATTGAGGCTTTGTTCACAATAGCAAAGAGTTGGGAACAACCTAAGTGCCCATGGTATATTCACACAATGGAATACTACGCTGCATTGAAAAACAAGGAACTCATGCAATATTATTCAAAATGGGTGACCTTGGACGACATTATGCTGAGTGAAATATATCAGTTACAAAAAAGACAAATATTGCACAGTGCCACTGTTGTGGAACCAGACTGACATCAGGGTTGGGGTAAGACTGAGAAAAATTGGATAAATTAGGTATACTGCATTGAAACAGATGAGGGAGACATCAGTTTAAAAATGATATGTGATTGGTTATTATGGTTATGACAAGAGTCCAGAATGAAAGTTGCATAGTGGAGTGCACTTGGGGGGAGTAGGGGGATTGTATACCAATGACATAAGTTTTCTTTTACTTTTCAAAGAGAGGAACAAACTGGGGGAGGGGGTGGCAGGGAGAAAATTGCAACAATGAATGAATGGAAATCCAAAATCTCTGTAAACATTCATTAAAATTAATTTTTAAAAAATGCACCAGTGGGACTGAGGTTGAGTGATGGAAAATCTCCTATGCAAGTTGCTGTCTCAGAAACCCAAAGGAGGCTCAGCCATGTGTCAGTTCTGACTCAATGACAACGAGAGAGAGAAAGAGAGACAGAGAGAGACAGAGCGCGTGAGGACAAGGGCGTTATTAGTTATCTAAGGAGCTCTAAGAGTACAGGGAAGGTCAAAAATTTTAATCCACCAGCTGCTCCATGGGAGCAGGACAAGCATTCTCTTCCTGTGAAAATTTATAGCCTCAAAAACGTCAGAGAGATTCACTGTGAGTTGGAACTGATTCCCCCTATCTGACATAGTAGTCAAATTTAGGTTGGGACCATGTTTGTAAAATGTTAAAGTCCTTCTTGGGTCATCAGTATACTTTGGGTTGCATTTCCACAGTGGTAATGTCTTTGGTATAATAGAAAATATTATGTACAGCACTTGATGCTTAATGATGGTATTTGCATTCACTCGACATAGCATGACTAAATTCACGTAATTGCAAATCAAAGACATGAAATATTAAAAAGTTTTCCTCATTTCTTTTCCACTTTGCTGAGTAAAGCCATGAGAATCAACTGATGGCTAGAATTAATTTAACGAAAGATATTTTAATTCTCCTCAATATGTAGGATTGGCTCAGCTGTGTGTGTGTCTGTGTGTGTGTGTGTGTTTACACTTTTTGCCTCCTGGGGAGTGTTTCATGCTCTGTGCTTATTAAAGCAGAGAAATGATAGAAATTTACCTCAGATTTTTCAATTTGCTCCAATCTCCTTTTTCCTTTTGTGATGAGAAATGGACAGACATCTACCCTTTAGCACCCACAATCTGTTGGAATAATCCATTTCAGCAGTGTAACTCCTTCCAGTTTCCCAGCCACTATTAGCTTCTCCCCAGCTTGGGAAATCTTGCTTTGTTTTATCATGAAAAGTTATTTCAAAAGAGTGGAAGGCCAAAATTAGCCATCTTTGGACTTTAAAAATAACATATGTTTGTATCTTCTCTTAAATTCTCATATGTTGTTGTTATGTGCCATCGGGTTGCTTGCAACTCATAGGGACCCTACGTACAACAGCTCTGAAGCCTGCCCTATCTATCCTGAGCCAGTCTCACTGTCTCAGACATACCTATCCCCATAGTCCCAGTTACTGTATCAATTCATCTCATTCAGGGTCTTCCTTTCCTGTGTTGTCCCTCCACCCTTCTGAGCATGATGTCCTTCTCCAATGACTGGTCCCTCCTGGCCATGTGTCCAAAGTGTGTGAGATGGAGCTTTTAAATCCTTGAGCCCAAGGGGAAACCTGATTTCACTCTCTCCAACAGAGACCTGTTTTTTCTCCTGGCGGTTCAATACTCTTCTCCAGCACCACAACTCAAAGACATTGATTTTTCTTCTCTCATCCTTAGTTAATGTCCAGCTCTCTGATGCATAGCAAGTAACTGTGGAGATCATGACCTCGATCAGGTGCACCTTAGTCTCTAGACTGAAATCAGTGCTCTTTAGCACTTTGGAGAAGTCCCTGACATCAGGCTTCCCCAGTGCAAGTCATCTTTTGAATTCCTGATAACTGATGCCAAGAGTGTTGATTGCTGAGCTTAGCAAGCTGGAATTGTTAACCCCAATCTCTTTTCCCTCTTTTGTGGGTCCAATGGTGAGAATCTTTGTCTTCTTGATTTTGAGCTTTCATCCATATTGAAGACTACAGTTCTTGACCTTCTGCAACAAGTGTTTCAGGTCCTTCTCAGTTTCAACAAGCAAGGTTGTATCATCTGCATAAAGTAGGCTGTTGATGAGACTTCTTCCAATCCTGATGCCTGTTCTTCCTCATTAAGCCCAGCCTCCTGAATTATCTGTTCTGCATATAGATTGAAAAGATATGAAGACAGGACACATCTGTGATGCACTCTTCCTGCTTTTGAACAGTGCAGTATTTCTCTGCTCTGTTCTGATGACTACTTCCTGGTCCAAGTATAGGTTTTGTACAAGCACAATCAAGTGTTCTGGGATTCCCATTCTCATCAAGATTAATCACAATTTGTTGTGATCCACACAGTCAAATGCCTTTACACAGTCGATGAAACACAGACAGATATCTCTCTGGTACTCTTTGCTTTCTGCCGAGATCCATCTGACATTGGCTATAATGTTTCTAGTGCCATGGCTTCTCTAAATCCAGCTTGTTTTTCTGGTGGCTCTCTGTCAATGTACTGTTCCAATCATTTCTAGATAATCTTCAGCAAGATATTACTTGTGTGTGACATGAGTGATATAGTATGATCATTTCCACATTGCCGGGTCACCTTTTTTTTTTTGAATGGGAATAAACATGGCTCTCTTCCAGACAGCTGGCCAGGTTTTCCTCCAGATTTCTTGGCACAACCTGGTGAGCACATCCCGGGGAGCATCTATATGTTGAAATATGTCAATTATAATTCCATCAATTCCTGGGGCTGTATTTTTTTGCCAAGTCTTTCAGAACAGCCTGAACTTCCTCCTTCATCAACATTGCCTCTTGATCATATGTTCTTTCTTGAAATTGTTCTGTGTCAGCAAATTTTTTTGGTGTAGTGACTCTATATATTCCTTGTATCTTCTTTTTATACTTCCTAGATCGTTCAATACTCTTAAATATTACATACTTAATACATACAATAGCATCCTTAAGTATTACAACTCGAGGGTTGAATTTGTTCTCTCAGCTTAAAGAATGCTGAGCAAGTTTGGACCTTTTGGTTTTCAGATCTAGTTCTAACACATTTAATTATAGTACTTTGCTTTATCTTCTCGTGCTTTATAAATAGGAAATGATTATTGTAGAAAATACAGTGTAATGAAAGGATTTATGAGATTAGGAAAGTCTGAGCTTGAATCCAGGTTTAGGAAAGTCTATGATTATCTAGATAAATGGTAATAACAGTAAAATTTACAGTCCAGTGTTGTGAAGAAGACATAAACAATATTTATAAAATTTTTCATATACAATAAACCCTCTATAAATTATGGTTAATTTTTACTATTTGCTGTGGAGTCACTATCACCAGACATGGAGTTCTAATGTTAGAAATAAGGGTTTACCCTTATGTGGAGTGGGCACTTACTATGTACTTGGCTGGAACCAATATCTAAAGCATAAATCCTTTATTCCTTACCTTAAATATTTCACCAACAAGATATTCATTGCCAGCAAAGATAGTAATCTCTATAATAGTCATGATGAGCAATTGGATTGGGCTTGTTTTTCCCAAGACAGCTCCAAAAGAAATCAAAACTGTAGCTGTACTGAAGTCTGCATTTATCATGCTGAGGGGAAAAGAAGAAAAAAAAAGATTAACAATAAATTATTGAATACAATGAAGGACCATGTATATCCCAAATGAAATGAGATGCTGTAATAAGCTATTAATCAACTGAATCTGTTTCAATTCATGGCAAGCTTGCATCTTTAAGACCTGTGCTCCAGAATTTTCAGTGGATGAATTTTTGGAAGTAGATCGATCTCTTCTGAAGCAACTTTGAGTGGACTTGAACCTCTAACTTTCTCCTTAGTAGTGAAGCACATTAAGCACATTTGCACTAACCATGGACTCTGAAATGGACTGCATATCATCTTACCCAGAGTTCAAGGCTTTTCTCTTCACCAGTATCCCACTTTACCAGTGTCCCACTAGGTATATTGTCCAGGCCTACACGTATTGTCCCTAATGTACTTACTTCTTTTCTCTTCCTCTCACTATCTCATTCCATTGTTCTAATAATTTCTTTGTGTTTACTCACCTTTTCATAGTGTTATATTTTAGGGTTTTATTACGTTTTTGTCTCTCTGATAAGTGGATTATCTTCTGGAGCAGTAGTTTACCCTTGTACAACAAAGAGATCATGTGTTTGCATTTAAAGTACATAAATAAAAGACATAAACAATAAAAAAAAAAGTACAATCTTAGGAATTAATAGAGGATCCCCACCCCCAACCCCCCGGCCCCTTTGTAGCTGAGAAGGAAGAAATAATACTTTGATCAAGAGAATTAGTTATTCACCGATCTGAAGGTGTGACTTAGCTGGTAGAATCAGGCATTGCTTTGGACCCTTTTATTCCAACAATCTTTCTTTACCAAAGAGAGGTAACTTTCCAGGCAGTTCAGACCTCATGACAAGCGACGAAGCGAAGCAACCATTGCTTTGAAACATCATAAGTTACTGAAAACTAAGAGATGCTTACCTTTTGATACCTATGTGAATTTTCTCCCCATGGCTGTGAAGGAGCCCTTGTGCTATTGTTCCCCACTGAAGGCCTAGAGCAGCGATAATGAAATTGAAGCCAACACTACCGAAGCCATACTTCTTCAGGAAGGTCATGAGGAAGCCGAACCCAATGAATATCATTACATGTACATCTTGGAACACTGGAAAAGAGCAGAGGACAAACAAATCTGTGTTGAGGGAACAGACAAAGAAGGAGACGGTGTTTCACTGTTGTCACCATCTGCTGTAGAGTTAGTTAGCGCTACACTCATGGCGGCTGCATGCACAGTGGAGCAAAATGCTTCCCTGCCTTATGCCCTCCTCCTGACTGCAAATCACATCATTCTGATATTTGTATTTTCAGTGCCTGATTTTGAAGCCGATTACCAGGTCTTTTTTCCTAGTCTATTTTAGTCTGAAAGCTAAAATCGATTCAATGTTATAGCAATGTACAAGTGTCCACTGAAAAATGAATGGTGGCTGCAAACAAGATTCATTGGCTAGGAATCAAATCCAAATCTGCCATATGGAAGCTAACAATTCTGTCAGTGAATGGCTGCTGCCCACTAAGAAGGTTGTTGTTGTGTATCATAGAGTTGGAACCAACTCATAGCTGACCCTCCAGCAGTTTTCAGAGGCAGTTAATTGAATGGGAGGAGATTGTCCATCCTTCTCCCATGGAGCAGTTGGTGACCTCAACCTGCACAGCTTCCTGCCATTAGGCCACCAGAGCTCACTAAGAGGTTTATTGTGGTTGTTATGTGGCATCAAGTAGCTTGTGACACATAGCAACCCTGTGTACAACAGCCCTGAAATCTGCTCTATCCTGTGCCAACTTTACTGTCTCTGACACACCTACCCTCATTACCTTAGTCACTATATCAATCCATCTCATTAATGGTCTCCCTCTCATTCTCTGTCCCTCTACCTTTCCAAGCATGATGTCCCTCTCCAAGGACTAATCTCTCCTTGCAACATGCCCAAAGTATGTCAGATGAAGCTTCAGAATCCTTGACTCCAAGGAGCAGAGTGATTTCACTCTCTCTAGTACAAACTTGTTTGTTCTCCTTGCAGTCTGTGGAATATTCAAAACTCTTCTCCAAACTACAGCTCAAAGGCATAAATTCTCTTTCTGTCATTCCTAGTAATTGTCCAGCTCTCTGATGCATAAGAAGCAATTGTGAAGACTATAGCCTGGGTCAGGCACACCTTAGTCTCCAGATTGACATCATTGCTCTTCATTATTCTGGAGAGATCCCTGACAGCCGACTTTCCCCAATGCAATTTGTCTTAGTCAATCAAATTTTATTACATTTACAAAATGCTCTTTTCTTGTCTAATACACTGCAAAAAGAGAACATTATTCAGTATGACATTTTGAGCCATGGGCTTTGTTACTCTTGCCACATGGCTAGGTTGTTGTTATATACTGTTAAGTTGGAACCAACTCATAGGTGATGCTCCAGCAAATTTTCAGGAGCAGGAAATTACATGAGAGGAGATTGCCCATATTTTTCCTGCACATCAGCTGTTGGTGGATTCAAACAGTGTGTCTTTGGATTAGCAGCACAACTCCTCACCAACAAGCCATCAGATCTCCCTACAAGACTGTGTCGTGGTTGTTAAGTGCCATTGATGCAATTATGACTCATAAAAGCTCTGGTAACAGTGGATCTGAACCCTGCCCTTGTCTGTGTCATCTTCAAAATCTCTAACACACTTAAGTTCCCCATTACAGCCACTGTGTCAATCTATTTCATTGATCATCATTCTCTTCTTCATTGGCCTTTCACCTTTCCAAGAATGATATCCTTTTTCAAGGACTGATCTTTCCTAACAATATGTCCAAACTATATCAGACAAAATTTCCCTATCTTTGCCTCCAAGGAACACCCTGGCACACTAGTTTGTTCTTCTGGCAGTCATTTCCAGCACCACAACTCAAAGACATCAATTCTTCCGTCATCCTTATTTATTGTTCAACCTCCAGATGCATGACAAGTGATTGAAAAGACTATGGCTTGAGTAGGGCACACCTTATTCTTTAAACTGACATATTTGCTCTTCAGCACTTTTGAAAGGCTCCTGATAGCAGATTTTACTAATACATCTTTTTTTCCAATTATATTTAATTGATGTACATTGTGTTTAATACAATCATTCATGTTGTTGTTGTTGTTGTTATGTGACGTCAAGTCAGAACCGACCTGTAGCTGACCCTCCAGTATGTTTTCAAAGGCAGCTAATCATACAGGAGGAGGTCACCCATCCTTCTTCTGTGGAGCAACTGGTGGATTTGAACCCATGTCTTTGAAACTGCAGCACAGTTGTTTAGCACTAAGACACCAGAGCTCCTTTCCATCATTCATATGCATTGTATTTATATAATCATTATTAATCTTTTATTATCCCATGTTTTGGATTCTCCATTGTATTTCTCCTATTCCTTCACCCCTCTGTCCACCCACTAACCTCTGCTATCCTATTGCTTTCCAGTCTTCCCTTTTATCACTTCCTTCCCCTTTTGGAACTTTATACACGTTTTGCTCAGTTATTTTTCTATCTTTACCATTACAGTTTTATGTAGTATTTGCCCTTAGGAGACTGAGTTATTTCACTCAGCCTAATGTTCTCCAGACTTTCCCATTTTATATAGTATTTTATGTATTGTTGGTTTTTAATGCTACATAGAATTCCATTGTGTAAATATCCCACAATTTCTCAATCCATCCCTTTGTTGATGGACAACTGGGCTGTTTCCATGTTCCTGCTATTGTGAATAATGCTGCTGTGAAGATAGTGTACATATCTCCATTCATGCCTCAGTTCTAATGTCTTTGGGGCATATTCCTAGCAGTACAATAGCTGGGTCATATGGGATTTCTGTTTTGATTTCCTGCTTGCTGGTGCCAAGAGTGTTGATTGTGGTTTGAAGCAAGAGGAAGTCACTGACAATTTCTGCATCTTCTCCATCTATCATGAAGGTACTATCATGAGGCTTGGTAGGTTTCATTGTCTTAGCAGGCTCTTAAATTCAACAATGTCAGAGTAAAAATTCAGAATCTTTCTACTGTCAAGGAAGAAGAACCAGGCACTGCAGAATGTTCTTTGCACCTGAGATGTCTGTGTGATTCAGAGATGAAGAAACAGAAACAGAAAAAAGCCCTAGATGTGGCAATAGTGACAGTGGCAATAACAGAGGTGGCAGAGAACCTGAGACTGGTATGAGGCAGAACTGTGGGCCCCCATTCCATGGACTGAGGAAGATATCTACCTACAGATTAATTGGGTGACTTTGAACACTTGCTGGTTCACAAACTTAGAGTTGAAAACCTTTGAGCCACATAATAGTAATAGTAGCAGTAGTAGAGAGTGAGTGATCTCTGCATAAAAGGCAGAGCTATGAGAACGTTGTAACACTTGCCCAAGTGGAGAGGGTTCACATACTAAGCATTCCTGAGAAGCGGCTGTCCTGATTGAAGAACTAACTGTATCCTGAATGTTGTAACAAGTTACTTCCCAAAGAAACTCCATACCAATGAATTCTGTGTGGGTGAGTGCCATAGGAGAAATGCTTGCTTTCAGAATTGTTACAAGATGTGAAGGGGGGCATGTCTGACTTCACTGGCATCATCTTTGTTGGTAGTAGTGATTCTTCCTCCTTGAAGTTACTGGAGGTCATACGCTGCCAAGTCAGGTCACTGTTTTTACAAGCATTTACTTGGAGACCAAAGGAAGGGTTCTAGTGGCAGCCAGGAGACCCAGGAAAGTTACTGAACATTTTCCTGACACACTATTTTGATTACACCAGCCAGTGTGCCTTTGACACTTTGTGTGAAGACGTTCTCACTACTTTCCACCTAAAGATTCCCAGTGGTGCAATAATTAAGCATTTCTCTGCTAATCAAAATGTTCAGCAGTTTGAAAGCACCTTCTTCAAGGGAGCAGACTGATTACATAGTGGTTGACAGTCTTGAAAATCCTGTGGAGCCCTTTTACTTTACCCTACGGAGCTGCTATGAGTTGAAATAAACTAGACAACAGAGGATTTTAAATATTTTTAAAGGATTTTTGCAAAGCACAATTTAAACATAAAATACTATTGCTAACTTACCTATTACTCCTAGAGGAAAGGAATATTTCTTGCCATTTTCACGTAAATACTCCATAATTATGTCAGCTTTACTACTTTTGACACAAGGTAGCAGCGCCCAGAAGCACGGCCAGGAGATGCGCTGGAGCGGCCACAAGGTGGCAGCACTCAAACACGTTGCGCTGGGAGACCCAGGGCTCAAGCTCAGAGATAAGGAACTTAAGGAAGAGACTGAATGCTGGAGTCACCACATCAGGGCTCAGTTAAGGCCTCCCTTAGAACCATTCACTGGGTGGAGGGTGGGGAGTATGAGGACTAGGGGGGTGAGAGGCTGCAGGGCGGGAGAGGGGATGGACAGGATGACAAAGCGAGGACAATACAGCATTAATGTCAATTTTTGTATTGGGAAAGTGTCTTTGCATCCTGATACTTTTAATAGCTTACGTAGTTATTGTGTACCATCGAGTTAGAACTAACCCATAGCCGACCCTCCAGCAGATTTTCAAAGGAAGTTAATCACACGAGAGGGGCTTATCATCCTTCTTCTGTGGACCAGCTTGTGGATTTGAACTCTGTGCCTTGGGCATTGCAGTGGAGATTCTTTAATAGCTTAAATATGTTTACGGTTTTTTGTCTATCATGTGCTCTTTGGGGTAAAATGCTTATTTGCCAGATACTGGACTAAAGCTGAGCTTCCAAATTAAGATGAAGTAGGAAGAAAGATTGACCTGTTTCAGAAGGCCTTCTGAAATAGCATGCCTTCAAAAACCCTATGAACAATAAAGCACACTTAGGCTATTTGATATAGCACTGATATATCACTTGTTATGCATCAGAGAGTTGGACAGTGACCAAGGAGGATAGAAGGAGAATTGATGCCTTTGAGCTGTGGTGCTGGAGAAGAGTATTGAGAATACCATGGACTGCTAGGAAAACAAACAGATTCATCCTGAAAAGGGTTAAACCGGGCGGCTCCTTGGAGGCAAGGATTCTGAGGCTCCGTCTAACATACTTTGGATATGTTGTGAGGAGAGACCAGTCCTTGGAGAGGGACATCATGCTTGGGAG